TAAAGCGGGAAGGTCGAGTAGATCTAGGAGCATATCAGCTTGGGGATCCTGCACACAGTTCTCTATACACACTGAAGAGAGAGGTGTAGGGGATGTAGAAATGCCATTCGCCATGCCTATGCGCCGTCGCGACGCTGGGCGGAAGGATAAGGCCATCGATCGGCAGGCCTGTGCTGGTGCGCTCCTTTGTGGCGTTCCAGTGTTCGAGGAAGCGCTGACGATACTCGTCCTTCGCCACGTTCAGTTGCCAGGAGTCATAGACGGAAAGTGGCTTCGTCCCATCATAGACAATCAGCATAGGATGGAAAGGCTAATTCAGGCTCGATTAGGTTATTCTCGCAGGCACGAACTAAAATTCACACCTCCCCCGAGGGCGCGAACGTGCGACGAAGGTCTTCTCCGCTATCGCTGTTATAGAGATCGATGGCAAGTTTATCGGCCTTCTCCACATCCAGTGGCTCGAATCCAATTACTTCAAGGAGGTGAGCATCTTCAACGTAGGTCGACACGATCTTGACACACCTTCATAGCCCGCCTTTATCACCGCACCAACTGTCATCGCAAGGGCTCGGCGCATGGGAGGATGAGGCATTACGACGTTGTCCCACGACATCACCCCAAACACTGGTTTTCGAAGCTTTCCATCCTTGCCTTTGAGGCCCTCGAGCCTCGCCATCTCTGATCGCCAAGGGATCTCGGGGGACTTGGGGTCGCGTAACCACGGCTCACCCGCAAGCACGCTCTGGGCAAAGGCGGAGATACCGGCGAGCGATGTCGTGATGGGGCCGAGTGCAGACTGGATACCCTCGAGGCCGAGGAGGGTGTTGCGCGCACCCGCATACGGGAACCGGTGTAGAGTCGGACGTAGACCGTAGAGACCATTGTATGCGGAGGGGATGCGAACAGAGCCGCCAAGATCGGTGCCGACACCGAGTGGACTATAGACGATTGTGTTTGACCGGTCTGTGACGGCTGAACACTGCTCACCTGCCATGCAACGCAACGAGCGCGCCTTCACCTCCAGAACTGTACAAACGTGAGCACGTGTAGGAGGTATGATGATCATTCTGGCTCACCTTCCTCCGCAACTCAGAGTGCGATTGTGTGGCTTCAAACAAGTGAGGCTTGTTTAATTTCTGTAAGCTTATGTGAAGCTTACGTTATCTGTCCTTCCATACACGAAATTATCGCTCTCTCCGAACTGAGATCGGGGTCGGTGCTTTTAAAGGGGAGCGCAGACGATCGGGCGCACCATCAGAGCCTGCGAGATATTCGTGCGGCAATGAATTCTTTGTCTTCGAGTGAGCAACCATAATCACCGCGACGGACAGATCTACTCACACGGCGCCCTGTTCTTTTAGAATCGAGACGAGCACCGAGTCCTTCTCCGAAATGTAGCCTATCCAGCTGGCGATGCCCATATTGCACTCGACCCCCTGGATTTGGAACTGGTCTTTCAAGCTGACTGGAAGCCCATGAAGAATCCCAATAGGCTTGTTGCCGTTCGCCACGAAGGCTGCGTCGACCTCCTTGGCCCGCTCAAGCGCACGGTCGAATAGGATCTCTGTGAGGCAGTTTGTGAGCTGGTGCGCTACCGCAGCGCCCTTGCAGAACGCGGTCGTGACAGTGAGCGAGTTGAGCTCGCCTGACGCGAGCTTCGCAAGCAGCGCGCCGGGCTCCGTTTGCACGATCTCAAGCTCGGCCTCCGAGAGTATGCCGCACGACGTGGTGTAGCCCGTGACATCCTTAACATCTTGCGCGGGCATCTTGTTAAAAGGGATGCGCCATTCAGTAGGGATTGCAGCTTCTTGCGCCGCTTTCTTCGCGCGTGTAGCATCGCTTGACCAGGTGATCATGGTGGTGAGGTGCAGGAACGACGTGGGAGGACCAACTCATCGCAGACCCTTACATATACGTCCAAGAATGTTCCCTTCTTATCGCGAGTGCCATTGGGCTAAACTTTGCTAGCCGCGGGGCGATAGCGTTATAAGCGTAATAGGACTTGTATCGGTAGCTGCGTATTCGCGTCCAAGTCGCGAGACATGCCGGTCCGACCGCCCCTTCGAGGGGCCGGAGCCCCTATCGTCAATGCTTCAGCCTATATCTCGCCATCCCGACCCCTACTTCATAGAAAGCATGGCCTGTAGGAGAAAAATGAGCATTTCGGGCTATGCATTAGATGAGGTAAACGGCTCAGCTCGAAACGGTCCCTCTGCTACGTTTGTTCGGCTTTGCATGTGGCTTATTGCCCGTGTTCGTCTTCGCACTGCGCCCGCTCCAGACAACCCCAATCTTCCGCTTACAAAGACGCTATGAGATCATGGCTATCTCATTAGCACTACCGTTGGACCTGGGCCTGCAGATCAGCTTATCATCTATCGCTTGTATGCATCACGCTTGTCTCACTGCCATCGTTGAGAGCTCCATGGTGTCCTTGTATCCTAGTCGCTGCCCGAACGACAGAAGTGATCAGGGCTTGGAGTGCTGAATTCCCATTAGCACAGCATGGAATAATACGGTTTGTTCTATGCGGGGAAGAGATACTGCTGCAAAGGAAGAGATCGTGTGATGTAATAGATAAATCCGGACGAGAAGCTTTGACAGAAGTAGATGGCGTTGTTCCGGGGAAATCAATGCATGCGCGAGGTACGAGCTTACTGCATCAAGCTGAATAGGGTGCAACGCATACCGATGACGGTGTCCGAGTCGGGATTGTAATCCCGACCGCCGTCGAGCCCGATGCGCGTACGCGATCATTCAAGGGGGTTCATAGGTGCAAAGGTCAGCATATACGCGCCATTCGAGAGGGGGCTAGCACTAGAACGGACCCGTAGTGCGGAAAGTGCGTCCTGGATGACCAACGAGAAACTGAGCTAGCTCGAGCCCTCGTTACGAGCGCACATCTTGCACTAATGCACCTAGTTGCGGTTTTAGACGACATATCGAGCAAATAACAAATGAAGGCCCGAAGTTATAGGGCTTGTAGTCCAAGGAGAGCGCAAAATACCCGTTGGCGGGTTGGAGAAAGGTGATGAGTCACCGAAGGAAAGAGCAACAATCTGGCAACTTCATATTGATAGCATGGATTTAGAGGAGAAAAGCTGGCAATATATTATTAATAATAGCATTCACGTCGCGGTCGGGAGACTCTCGGAATGATTCGGATGAGATCGGACGCGACCGCATCAGTACCGACAGCGATAGACGCAGAACGCTCGAACTTCGCGACTTCCTTCATCTCGCGTTCATCCAATCTTTCCTTTGGCTACAATATTATCTTCAAATGATACCAGGCAACTCTAGATGTGAAGGGTACTTGGTCTGAGGACAAGGCGTACATGGCTAGGCTAGGCGATGCGGCTGCCGTTCTATGGACACGGCATCAGCGTCGTGTCTACTATTTCGATTAATCCAGAAGCCTGACCTCCGAGCTTGTCTGGCTCCTTTGACTCTATATGTCTTCCGGAAAGAAGGAAGGGACGCCTGTCCTACCAGACATCATTGACTCCCTGGATGGCGAAAGACATGAGGATAACAAACTAGCATAAGGCCTGGATATCAGCTCGACTCGGCGGCATGTCGGCTTTCCAGCAAGTATGTAATGGCGTGTCACTCTGGCCAGTGGCGTTCCTACGCGTTAGGAGAAGCAGACGAAGCTCTGTCGCTCAAGTAAAGGAGTAAACAACGTCTTTCGTCGAAATTGTGCGTCCTGGCTGTTGAGAAGATTTGTATGATATAGGTGGGTCAAAACGAACGAGCTTCTGTGCAGTTGTTTGCCTTTGTCGTCGAATCCCGTGATGTCGGGCCACCAAGTGCGAAGGATAAAGCATGCCACATTGACCACCCACCCCTCACCTTCAGCCAGCACAACGGATACTCTGCTCCTTATTCTTTGTATACAACAAACAGGATAGCTAGTGTATTCCTTCATGTCTACCCCTTCCTCCTCATCTATCCCCACCACTGCGACCGAGGCGACCACTTCCACTACCCAAGCTCAGCATATCCCTGTAAGTGCACAGCTTGTATCTAATCCCTTTGGTCACGTATACCTTAGATGAACTTGCTGTTCTCTGGTGCCGTTGGTGTGCCGGATTTTGGCCCAGTCACATTTGACCCACCGGCATCTCAAAACCTCGTACTATACGCCGGTAGTTTCGCTCGCCGTCCTCCTGCCCGTCCTGCCACGCAAATCTTCTTGCAGATCAAGATGGTCTGTCCTTCAGGGAAAGGTGAGTTCCCGATTCTTTGCATCGTCTGGCATGCTCATGTCGAACAGACAAGTGAGGCATATCCCATTAAACTCTCCCTCTCTTTTCCCCCTCTGCGATCACCACCCACCTATCAGCACCGCATCTCTTCTCTGCATCACCGCTCCTAGACTCCTTAATCTCTCAAGTCTTTTTTGTATTATATGGCCTGCGTAACAGAGAATCACGGTATATTCCTGTCCCGTTTCGTATAGTTCTTCTGTTCAATTATCGGAGCCACATATACGTGGTTTGGTATGTTCGTCCATGAATATATTTGGAGAGACGAAGTGCGAAACCGCATTTAACTAAACGTAGTGCACGTGTCAGGGTTCATACGTAGGTTCGTTCATGCGGGGAGAGGATGCTAGGAGAAATACCAAGCGAGAACAGATGATGCGTGCATACTAGAATGAGAATGGTGAACAAGAGAAAGAAAAGGAGGTAGAGGACGGAGTACCACACTCACCAGGTGCAACGGACGTGATGGACAACGTAAGCATGAAGGGAGTCGAGATCGAGCTCTCTAATATAGCCAACCCTCGAACCACTCCGCACGGCGAAGATGCTCGGGGTGGAGGTCAACGTTCTGCTGTGGGGGATCAAGCAGAGCGATTGGCGTGACAGTTGTATTGTCCCCACCCGTCAGGACACCCGGTGATGACCGGAGAGGCCATGTATTTACCCGAAAGATCAGTACGCGGGGGAGGGGAGGGATTGGGAGAAATGGACAAATGTAGAAAACAAAAATGAACCCGACCCGAATCGAACGGATAACCTTCAGGATATTCCTGTCTGGAATCTGACGCTCTACCAATTGAGCTACGGGTCCCGTGCCCGACATAAGCCGGCTATATATCCAATCGCGCCGAGTACAAAGTTGATCTGTACCGTGACTGCTCTCATTCCGAGTCCTCCGCCTGGGTCTACTTCAATACACGAATGCTGATCGGTACTCAATCAAGATCGCGCATGGCGATTGACAAGGTAAGTTGGCTGGCAAGCGGCTAGGGAAGGTAGTCTGATGGCCTGCAACAAACTCCTGCCTCTTGACATTATCTCGACAGGCTGCAACGTCAACAGTCGGGATCACGATACTGTATGAGCGCATTGGCAGCGAAGAGGGATGTGCCTACTTGTGCCGACATAACAAATTCGAGAGGGTGAAGACCCACTACAGGCCAGCTCAACTGTACTGCATTAGACAAGGATCTGCAACTACGAAAGGACGGCGAAACGGGAAGGCGTATTTACTGCTTTCAATTTGGGATCGTGATGCGTTCGCGCGGGTCACGTCGTGCGGAGGCGGGGGATCGACGTCGCGGCTGCCAGTGGCTCCAACAACATGATCTAGCGCGCCGATCCGCCTGTTGATCCACTTGCTGACACGCTGACGATCGTTCATGATCGATAATCGCCGTTCGGTGTCTCGCGGTTCGCATTCTGCAGTCTGACGCCTCGCGCTTCACGTCTGGCAGTCAGCAACCTTGCGCTTCCCGCTTGACAATCTACATACGTCTTGCGCTTCCTACCTGACGGCCGCCTCGTCCTGCCCGTTGACATGACGCGTCTCGTCTCCCCGACCGAACGCATCTCGCCTCGCAGACCAATCGCATCCTTCCCCACCCCCAATCGTCTGTACGTGACTGTATGGACGAAGATGATGTAGCACAGGCACGCTACTGTAAATTACAACAATACAAGAGTACATTGGGTAAGCGTTCTCGGACTATAACGAATCTCGCTAAACCAGCACAACGTAAGTATGTAAGTTCGATCCCGTATCAAAATCGCGGCGCAAGTAGTACGTGGGCCGCGCGTTGCGAGAACGAGTATTCGAGAGTCCCACGAACACCCAAGTTGTAATAAGGACTACTCGAGTATTATGATAAGCGATGACGGCCTTGGAACTAGGTCTGTTGGATGTAATTCAGCTCTACAAACTACGCCGAGTGCATAAAATGGACTCTGTCATTCGGCGACTGAAACTTCAGCTTCAGGTACACTCTGTCTACCGCGCTCTGTCTCCTTCGCCATCTCCTTTCCAGCCGATTCCTGGCCAGCTTCCGCAAGCTTCTCCGTTTCGGTATCAAGATCGTGTCGCTCTCCGTCGGGCGCTCTATCGTATATCCCCTCGTCCGCCGATTCCAGCCTGTCCTCGGCGCTCAGTGCAAACGTTTGCAAAATCTCATCCTGACTCACGCTTGTTCCAAGTCCGAAACGATACCTTCGTCCAGTGCAACGGATGTCACGAAGCTCGGGTATGACCTGCCAGACCGGCACCGGTCAGTCCTGAGGCCACGAGCCTGGGAGACACCGGGGACATACTGGTGTCCAGGGCCCCGATCGGGCCCAAAGGTGATTTCTCCGAAAGAGGTATGCCGGTGCGCGGTGGGCTTTAAGCCAAATGGTTTGCATATGGCGTAGAATCCGCGCCGATATGTGGCGCGTGCGTCGGGCGTCATACCGAAGAGGGCGAATATGACGAGGGAAAGAGCAACGGAGGTCCAAGAACTCAGATAATAATCACTGAGTGCCCAGCTACCTTCCGCTCGAATCTCAGCGTACGAACGGGTGACGGGTGCCCAATTGGAATGCGTGATCTTCCACTCCCGGAAGAACGGAATCGAGGCTCCAGCACTGGTATTCTCTATCAGATTTTGAACAGTGCTGATGACGCCGTAGGGAAGTGTCAGTACGATGTCTACAGATGCCAGGGCCAGGAGCCGGAAGTAGCCGAGTCGAGCGACGGAAGTGTTGTTTCTGAAGAATTCATTTGTAGCTCTGCTATGATGGTAGAAGACATATATGACTTTGGCTGCAGGGTGCGTAGAGTTAGTGAAAGCTTTCTCTCCCGAGACGATGGGATATACACACGGCAATAGAAGAAAACAGAAACAGACGGTAGGACGACAGGCCAGGATTGTACTGCAATGAGCGAGAACCATGAGATATCGACTGTAACGCTGCATCCGACCCCTTCCTTCACAAAGAACCGCGAACTTTGTTGGACGTAGTCTAACAATCTCGCATGGAGGTTGAGGAGTGCATAATTAATCAGGGCGGCCAAGGCTCACAGAACACGCTGGCCACCAACATAGGTAATCCAAGGCCAATAGACCACTCGATGATATTATCCACCAGTTTCTGGAACCACGTGCTCAGAGCAGCATTGAACATCAATCTGAGGGTTTCTGTCATACCTCCTTGCGACTGGGTGGCAGGCCCGGGACCGTGACGGAGCACAGCGACGCAATTTTGTACAGCCGACGGGTTATCAAGAGAGTGCAGGCAGGCTTGACAATGAAAGTGACCAACTGCAGGTGTGAAACTAGGTCCGACCTCTCTCGATCAGCCCCAAATATATACGACGTGGATCGCACCGATATCACAGTAAACGTACAGTCTCACGTCCGCATCGTCTGCCCAGACAACGGCATCGATGCCGAAAGTTAAGAGCTCCCAAAAGAGCCAGAAACAGAGGAGAAAGACGCCGAGGTTCCGAGACTGGCGGACGGAGCTTGTTGTCAGAACGAGAAGCAACAGGACGGCGCCGATAATGGAGATGATCGGACGGAGTGGGTAGGTTGGGTCGGTGGCCATCTGTCCTGAAGCTCCGTTGCACAGAGGGGTGCATTATATGCATCCTATGCGGCACGATCACGACAAGAGGTGTGCGGCTGTTGCGTTGCCGTCCTGTTATGGGACATGGAGATCAGTTCGAACGGGGAGGATTCACGATAGAACGCGCCGTCCCCGAAGTGCGTAAATTCTGTGCTCGCTTCGTCGGCGAGGGAGGTATGCGGTGGAGTCCGTGTTGCAGAACTCTGTCGCACAGCGTGCATCGCATCCCACGTACCGAGTGCGTGAAATGGCGGGTTCCCATCTTGTTCGATGCCGTGCACTCGGCGCAAACAAGACGCTTCGGGCACGTCGACTGCCGTATGAGAAACCGTCCCGGAGGCTACTCAGCCCATCGTTTGTAGCGAGCGACATCAGGTCGAACCGATGCACACATCGCAATGCCGTGTTCGGCGTGTACGGGAGTATACGGTCTTCGTCAGCACACCAGCGGGGAGAGTCAGACTGTGGGGAGTGGCGGGAGGCGAGCGAGGTCATTGCAGGCAGCAGAGGTCTGAGAGTGCCCATGGGCGAAACAAATGAGAGAGAGCTCGACAAGCGCGAGAAATCCGCATTCGTCCGCCCTCGCTAAGAACTCCGTTGGTCTCGTTCCCCCCCCCAATCAGCGGACAGCGCGTACTGCCTACACGCCAAAGCGGGATGAAGAAGAAGCAAAGTCCCCGTCCTCTCGCGATCGTCGCTTGTGCTCCGCGCGCCCTCTGCGCCCCAGGCGCGGATCCACACAGAGCTCGCGGCGCGCCCCGCGAGTCCAGACACACCACGAGATGTGCACGCGTCCGCGGCGCGAAGACAAGATGGGAAAGGCAGCGCTCGAGCACCGAGCACGGCAGCCTCTAGTCTTGTCTCCTTCCGCGGAAAGGAGAGAATCGCGCGGCGCTCGGCGGCCCCGTAGTACTACATGCGACGCGACGCGCGGACGGGCGTATGCGGAAGTGAGATGTGAATCCCGGCCTCGCCTCCGTCCGCAAACCGAACGTCGCGTCTTGGGTCGTTCGTCGCGGGAACTCGCCGTGCACGAAAGAGCGGTGGGGGAGGCAGTGCGCGAATGAGCGGTGGGGAGGCCGTGTGCGGAGCGGGAGGCGCGGCGCGGCGGACTCGCGGAATCGACGGTGGGTATGCGCGTGTCGGAGGGAGACGAAGACGGGTCGATGCGAGATAGCGCGTACACGTCCGAGCGGTTGTCTCTGAACCGCCTGGAGACGTGCAGGCGGCGCGAGGGAGTGGGATGGCGGGGCGGGGGTGTAAAGCGCGGAGCGGGGGTGTAGAGGGCGGGGCGGTACGAGAGGGTGCGGAGGCATATCTCTACTGGCAAGAAGGAGATGATGATGATGGTAGAAGACCGCGCTGCTGCGGAGTCATTCTACGCACGCGTTCCCACGACTTGTAAGTAGTGCGGGGGATGCGCGCGAGTGGATGGCTTTTGCGAGAGACCCGCACCATCGGCCGCACCGCCCATCATCCGGATTCCTCCGTCTCGAACGACCTCGTCACACGCACCTCACGAGAACCGGACGTGCGCAAGCTGCAGCACGATCCCACTCCAGACTCGCGCCCACATACTCGACACCTGCCCGCGGCGTTGCCGGACTCTTGGCCGGACTTGCCGGATATCGAAGTAATTCGGATAGAGCGCCTCGCGACGGGCCTTTGCATTCTCGCTTGTCGATGCCTACCACGCTTGTGCCCCGCCCACGTTCTTACTGACGTTCGCGCACCGTCGCGCGCTTCCTGTCCGCATAGTAGCCCAGCCTCACCGCCACTCCAATCCCACCACAAACCCGCCGACACCTAGCCCCGCTCCCGAATCGGGAAGGCGCAATTACCGCTTTTGGAACTCGCGCGGATCGACGGTGCATGATCGATCCGTCCGCCGATGCGTGCATACTGTACTTGCTGTTTGTCGCGTTTGGCAGGTCTGCGCCTTGCGTTCGGCAGGTCTGCGCCTTGCGTTCGGCAGTTCTATGCTTCGCGCCTTGCGTTCGGCAGTTCTACGCTTCGCGTTCGGCAGTTCTGCGCTTCGCACTTCAAACTTTCGTATCCGGGACTCTTCAACCCCGCCTCTAAAAAATCCATATCCGAACGGACGTATGTGCTCGAACAAATTAATTACGAATCGATCTAAGTACGCATCTCCCCGCACCCTACCCTACCTCCCCCTCGGACTACCCTCAAAACAACCCTCCTCCCCAA